AAGAGGTCGACGGCGACGTGGTCGGGGAGACAGGAGAGATCGGTGATGCCGGAGAGATTAAGGACTGCAGCGTCGGTGGTTAGGGATAGCAAGGATGGGGGAGTTCTCATTCAGTCACCATGAATTTATATGAGCGAAAAAAAAAAAAAAAAAGTTTGATCCTAAAAATCAGTTCTAAAGGCAATTCTAAATTCTAAATATAGGAAAACGGAGTTCTTTGCGCTCTGTTTGTTTGGTTCCTTGGGCTGGGCCTCGGTCCGAAATCAGCAGGCATTCGCTCTTGGGCTTGACTTCTCGGGGTATTTTGATATTGTGCCTTGAGCTGGGGCTTTTGTGTCATTTGCCTGCCCCTTTTTGTCCATTTTCGAACTTGGCTTAATACCAGAATCCTAAACAATGCTTTTTCTTATTAATTTTGGTATAAAAAATTATATTAAATTTTAATTAATTTATTAATGAATTATTGATTTGAGTGAAAGAACAACTCTAAAAACAGATATTAAAAAAGTTTTTTTTATATGCTTTGATGTTAATCGGGATTAATATATTTATTGAATATCAAGAGATTAATATCAAAAAAATAAAAAAATAAAAAAAATCTTAATTAATTGAAAAAAATAAGATTTTTTAATATTTATTTTTTTATTCACAATGTTCAAAATCAAAACTTATTTAAACCAATAAATCATTAAGTTGTTAGTTAATACTTCTTCTTTTTTATAAAGTCAAATAAAAAAATTAATCACGAAAAATAAAATTTTCTTACAAAAATTATTAATTTTTTATACAATATTTTATTATCATTTTTTAATAAAAAAATTTTCTGGGCTTCTAACAAAACACTTCAAAGCGTTCCATTTTAATAACAAAATAGATGATTTGGTTTAATAATTTAAAATTAATAATTAGTAGTTTGATCTAACTTAATAATTATTAATAATAATAATTATTAATTTAAATAGTTTAATTAATCAAACAAACTTAAGAACTAAAAAAAATTAATAATTTAAATAATTTTGTTAATCAAATTTAATGAAATTACTAATTACTAATTTTAAGTTGCAAAGCCAAACAACCCCATAGCCTGCTATCCTGTCCCATCCTTACTCCAATCCTTACTCTCCCATCCCTTCCTCGTCACTCCCTCTGGCCCTCTACCTTTAACTGGTACTCTTTTTATTCAGTCGCTCAATTCTGATCTATATCTCCAGATCTACATATCTATACAGGTAGACTTTCTTTACTTCTTTTCCATAATTGTTCCTTGTGTTGTTTTTGCTTCTTTTCCCTAGTTTTGGCTTCTTTTATTCAGTCGCCCTTCTGTATGTTTTTTCTTTCTTTTTTTGAAAATTATCTATACTGTTTTTATTGATAACTTCACTTTGCTTCCTCCTTTTTTTTCTTTTTTTTCTTTTTTAATCAATGCTTCATTTTTCTTAACTTTTTCCATGAAATTTTTTAGGGTTTTGTATGTGGGTTTAATAATTAACTCCATCCATATTGGTCCTCTTTCTGGATGGTGTTAATGAGATAGGTTTCAGAAAAATGATTTGTGTTTTCTTGTTTCTTTAATTTGATCTCTCACTTGTTTGTGCTCATATATGGCATATTGTGCAGTTATCATTCCCTCCAAAAATGAAGAAGAAAAAGAGAAAAAAAAGGAAGATCCAAAAGAGTTTTTGCAATATTTTGAATTGACGGAATTGGGAAAAAGGGTAACCCATCCTAGTAGTTATATATTTGCTTAAATCATCTTAGTGCATCCGAATTTCAGTATGTTTGAAAGGCTTGCCTATTTAATATTTGCATATTATGTGATTTTATTAATTTATATTAAATGAACCTCACTAATATTTCATGTAGGTTGGTATGGGACTAGCTTCTATAATTTTTTGCATAAAATTTCCTTTTGGTAGTGGCTAATCAAACTAAAAAATAAAATAGAACCATTTGTACAAATTTTGCATGCAGGGAAAATGGGTCATAGATTGAAACCTTAACATGCCAATTAGGCAGATATTCAAATTGCATGGGATTGCAAAGGAGGGTGATTTGGTGAATGTGAAGAAGGACATGGGTAGGAAAAAGAAGCCTATATCAAAAGCATGTTCTAAATTTTGCTTTCTTTCTGTTTAGGAAATATAGATTTTTTGACATTTAAGTTCTGTATAGTTGTTCTACCAGGGTGGTCAATTCAAAAACTAAGTTAATCTTTTTTTGAGGATCAACCATAATACAGTCACTTTTTTAATGAAACTAAGTTAGTTTTTTTATTAGAAACATCATAATCATAGTACTGTCACTTTTATGAGAAGCAATTCCTGGTGTTGTCGGATCATTCTTCAGATATTATATGTTGGCGGAATAAGAGTTTGAATTGCTTGGTTTTGGGGTGTTGCTGTTGGTTTCTAGTTTTTTACTTCTTCATTGTTTAGTTTTCTTATGAAAATTATTTTACTAGGAAACTAATTGAAAGAAGTAATTCTATTTATTTTTTCAGTCTTCTTATAGTTAATGTTTTACTGGTTAGCTAATGGAAAGAAGCAATTCTGTTCGTATAATAGGTAACATTCTTTCTTTTCTTTTAAAGGGCAAATTTTGTCCCAGTAAGAATACTGCAAGTCAATGCAGCTTTACTTGCTACTCACAGATGAACAATATTTGAGCGAAAAAGCTACTTGGGTGGAATCAGACGATATCTGTACATAGTTTTGCCACTTTATTCCCCTTTTCAATTATTGAAACAATGTGTATCTTATGGAGTGCAATCCAATACCTGTATCTTTTGCTGATGGTGGGATCTAATTCTATGGTTTCTGTTTACACCATAAATTGCAAAATTTTAAACAAAGCATTTTGGTCTGTTTGTGTAACCTCCCGAGATTTGTTTGTTGGCTGTAGTTTGAACACTCTCAACTCCAGATGTGGCATGAAACTTTATGCACCGAACCAATTCTGTCGGCAGTTAGGGTACTGCCAAGACATACCATTCACGCCACTATTTTCCTTCAACTACAGCTATCCCCTTCGGTTTATGATTGGGGATTCAAAGATTTTGGTTACCAAACTTGCTGACATCACGAAAACTCTGCAGACGCTGATCCTACCAGACCCTCCATTCAGACCAAGCTGCACTTCTTCTTACAAAAGTTGGTGGCGAAACTACTTTCATCCTCGGTTTCTTGATGTTATGGAGAATATTTCTGTTCTGGTCCCTCCGGAACTCACCAAAAAATCTGAAGGGAAGAAAGTAGTAAAAGAGAATGAGGACCTGGAATCTGCCATGGCCGCCCAGATCAGCCAGCCAAATCTGCCAAGGAGAGCTCCCAAACTTCAAGTCAAAAGGAAATTTGCTACTCCTGTAGATTCCACGGAAGAAGATACCCCCTCCAAGCAACGAAGAACCGGAGGTAAATCCGCTTTGGCTTGCAACTTCGTGACATGTTTTCTGCTAACACTCACTTTTAAGTTTTTTTTTTTTTTAGGGATCAAGAGGTTAGCAGTAAAACCATCTGCAACCAAGAAACTTATCAAACCTGCCTCTCCCTCGAGGTCCTCTTCTGCCACAGAAACCGAGACGCAACCTGACAAAACAGAAGATGTTTCCCTTGGTCCTGCTGCCACAAAAGCTCCTATTTAAGACATATCTGCTGAGGGTGATGAAAGCAATTCTAGCTCTTCTCGTACCAAATCTGGCGATGGTTCTTCTCCTGCCACAAAGGTTAGGGGTTCTAGATTCTCTTCACGCATAGCAATCAAAAGCTTTAGAACAGTTAGATCGAATGAACTCATCGATCTAAGCCCTGACAAAGAGAATACCCCTACACCCGTAGCTTCTCCTGCTAGGCATGTTCATGTTGATGACATTGAGGTTGTTTTACTGTTTTGAAATCTGCTTAGATCCTGAAATCTGTCACCATATCTGCCAGTTGCCATTTTTGATCTTTTGTCTTTACATTTTATAGAGTGTTGCTGCTGATGTGCCCATGATTGATGATGATTTGGAGAATGAACTCCTTGCCCAGCTGGAAATGTTGATGGATACTCCGGCTAAATCTGGATCTGCCACAGATAGTAAAGGGAAGGCAGTTGCCGAAGAAGTGGATTTTGATATCAACCTTCCTACCCAGGAGCAGATTAGTTTTGCGATCATGACCATGCAAGAGCTCCTTGGTGGCGGTCCTTCCCATTTTTGCAAGGTGCCGGACCAGCCAGCCGCCTTTGAAGCGACTCAAAAGAACATGAGAGAAGAATGGAGTTCATGGCAAAACAACCTGTGTTGATTTTTCTCTTATGTATCTTCTTGTCTCTTTGTTGGCTGGAATTGCACATTGTCATGTTTGAACATATTGTTTGCGGCCTATTGGCCATGCAAACTAATGCCACGTGTAAAATTTTTATTGGCTGGAGGAGTTTAAGCCATGTCAGATTCGGATTCTGAGTCCCATGACAGATCAGCACATGAGTTGACAAGATAGGAGAGGTAAAGATAATGTTTTATGGAATAATTATCTTCTTGAAATAGAAAGGGATAATGGCAGCTGGAAAATAGGAGAAGATTGCAGTTAAAAAGGGGGTTTTATCTTATAAGAGTCCAGGTGGCGAAATCTGCCAGGGGATTAGACTAGGTTAAAAGATGAGGTGTTCCACTACTCCAAAAAACTACCCATGATTGAGTAACTGTAGAAGGTGGAGGTAACTGTCGGCACAAGAAGAACAAAAAGGAAATTTTGGGGAGAAGAACACACGGCCAGCCTGTTGACGACCACTTAAGATTTTTTTCAAAATAAATTGAAAAATCAAGATTTATCATTATTAAGTGTGAAAAATATAAAAGAAAAGGGGAGTCGCCACTCAT